TAACATAATAAAGGCACAATACCTAAAAATAAAACAGTTAGATTGTTATTTTAACCTGCAGAAGAAGAATATGGAGGATCTGTTTATATGATAAGAGATGGTTGTTTAGATAATGTATAAGAAGTATATGGATTTCATTAATGGCCAACAGGTAAGATTGGATAAGTATGGTGTAAAGAAGGACCGATGATGGCTTAACCAATCGAAATGCAAATTGATTTTATAGGTAAAGGAGGTCATGCATCAGAACCCCATAAATTTAATAATCCTGTTTAATGTGCAGCTGAATATCTCTATACTATTCATAATTAATTAAGTTAAGAGAAAGGACAATTTACTTTTGCATGGACATGTTTCAATGGTGGAACTGCTATTAATGTTATTCCAGATACAGCAACAGTTAAAGGTATGATTCGTTCTTTAGAATCAGGTTTAGGAGATAGGTTATTTAATGAAGTCAGTATTTTTATTCATATTTTAGTGTTGTAAACTTGCAGAGAAAATTAGTTAAAAATATGGATGTTAAATAAAAGTTTAATCAGAAATCTATCCATTAACTGCTAATCATCCAAAAGAAGCTTAACATATATTGAGATTAGGTGAAAAATATTTTGGTCTTGGTAATGCTCATGCTGGTCCTTGTCCTGTATATGCTTCTGAAGACTTTGGAAATTATACCTTGAAAGTACCAGGAGCATTTTTTTTTTTGAGTTCAGGAAAAAAGTATTTTATTAACATTACTTAATAGTGATACAAATAATCCTATGTTACATTAATCTAATTTCGATTTTAATGATGATCTAATAGAATTGGGAGCAGGATTTTGGTGGGAAATTGCAAAAGATCGTCTATTAATATGAATAACATATATAGCATTTATAGTAAATTTAATGAATTTCTTGACTTTGAAGATAGACCAACTACAAGTCAAAGTGTTCAATAATAAATCAATAATGTTGGTTAAAAAATGAAAGAATATAAAGATAAAATATTCACATCTCATTCTAGAGCTAATTCTAGTTCTACAAAAAATGAATTAAAACATCATACTCAAAAATCTAAATCTCCAATTTGGGATAGAATGAATTCATAAAATTCCCAAAAAAAGAAAATCTTTGATGATGCTCCTCTTATAAAAAGAAGTAAACCTTAGATTTTTAGTAAACCTGAATGGAAATAAAATAATGTTTAATTAACTAAACATGTAGCTTCATAACCATCTGAAGATTTAGATGAAAGCAGTTTGACAATATAGTTTTTAATGACTGAAGATAAAGACATAGATGAAATGTATTATAAAGACAATAATGAATCTGAAATCTTGAGTTATTTGATTACATAAATGGGTAAAAGACCGACTCTTGAAATTTAAGGTACTATGATTGAAAACTTAACTCGTAAAAATAATGAAATAAAGAAACAACTATCTCTCAAATTAATGGAAAATTAACATTAATTGAATTGGGGTTATTATATGTGGGATGCTTTATCCTTTCGAGTTAATTAATGCTGTGCTAGAATTGCTAGAGCTAGATTAGTCTTAAAATTATTGAAGTAGACTCATAAAGATTTGGGATTGAAGATCTAAAACAAACAATAATAAAAAGAAGAACTTGAAATTAAAATATCAAATGTTATTAAATTTAGATAACGATATTAATAAGTTCATGATCTTGTTTGTGAATTAAATAAAGATCAAGTTACCAGCAATAGTTGGTCCTTATACAAAATTATATCCATCAAAGATTTAGTCTGGACTTAATCAAGAGATATGAAATAATAGATGCACTTATATTATTGTTTTAATGATATAAGAGGATATATAGAAACCCTATTCTAATAATAATTAGAATATTCTTATCGTTTTTTCACTTAAAACATTATTCTCACATTTGTTTAAAATAATAAAGACAAAGACGAATTGTTTAAAATGTTAGATAGTATGTGTGATTACCTCTAATATTATGAATTGAATAATAAAAGTGTAGATATTAGCAAATAGATAAGAATTTCTCTATAAAGTCAATTTAGAAGTATCATTAGATAACAATTGAAAAATGAAAATGTAGACATCAAACCATTCAATTTTAATAAATAACTTATGGTATTTTAATTAAGTATTCTATTAGAAAAAAGGAGTTAAATATGATTGCTTACATACATTGAATAAATACTTGACAGCATTTTTAACATCATTCTATCTTACATCATTTTCACTAGGTTTGATTGTTTAGTAATTCTAAAAATTGCTTTAAATTAATGCTTAATCAAAGAAATAACCTTTATTAAAAAAGGTTGGTTTTTAATACAATATTGAAAAGAATCAGTTCTGGTAATATATTTAAGATAAACTTGTCAAGAGTATAAGAAATACAAAAATGGATGCATAATGTGTTTATTAGGATTGGATAAGATTTGAGGCTCTAATTTTTAAAATTATTTAAATAGGAGAAGAATTAAGTAACTTAAAATCTTACACACTCTTGTTTCATTTAAAATAGACTTTGAGATTGATTGCATAAGGATTGAGTATCAATGTTATTTAATGTTTGAGCATTCAAAAAGGGATGGGTTCAACCAATATTATAAAACCTTTATATCAATGCGTATTATTTAATAAATTAGATTTCTATGTGGAATAAAGAAGGCTAAATATTCAATCTTAATATTTGAACTCATTTTTAGAAATCAAAAATATCTTACCTCATTTTGAATAATAATAACCTTTATAATCTATAGAAAGTCCTTACAATAAAAAAGAAGAATACTTCTTTATAGTAAGTTAATTTTAAGAACTACTTTTTTTCGCTTAAAATATTAAATAGTTTAGAATCGATTGTTTTTTGCATACCATACATTGTTTTGAGTTCTACTGTTATCTTTTGATCCGAAATGATCTTTATCCTCAGATAAAATAGCTTTAATTTGAATTGCCTTCATATGAAGACAATTTTGAAAATCTTGTAATAGCTCATCATTACATTACTAAATATGCTAGATTTGGTACCTTCTAATAAATGTTAATGAAATAGATAGATAGCATAAGATCTTCAAATTTATAAATTTAAGTAGTTTACTCTTCTTTTTGCTTGAGAGAAATTTTGGAGAATTTAACTCTTTGTATTTAGATTTATGATTTTATCAAATAATCTTATCAATATTAGGAAGATATTGAGTTCATAGAATGTTATTTGAATAAAACAAAACAATGGCTTGATTAATTAAAGTTTTTATGGATTTACACATAAGGATTGAAGGATAGTGAGATTGAGAATAAATAAATAAGTAGTTATTAGATTATGTATAAAATGACATAAATTATGCATCAAATATCAGTGATATCATTGAACAACTAAGTTATTAAGCCAGAAGAGATAGGATAGATTTATTATCAAGCTTACAGTGAGAATTTAATGGAGGTAATAATGGGAATTTTAAATAAATAAAATAAATAATAATTGCTTGGAGAATTATAAAAATTTTTAAAATAAGTTAATGGATAGTATTAGAGTTAATAATTTGATTGTTTTGTACGGTTGTTGGACATAAAAAGTTAGGGTCAGTATTAAGAATAGGTGAATAAATTAAAATTATTGAGTCTAAAAACCTAAATTTCTATATTGTAGAAGGAAATCAACTTGGATTAGAAATGCATCACTCAAATATACGTAAGTTATGTAAATGAAAATGTTTGATAGTTGAATATTTGATAAGATCACTTTTTTTTATTAATTTAAATAGTAGATGACCTCTTATTTCTTTAATCATTTCTCCTAATCAAAATAGAAAAGTTATTATAATCTAAAGAGGAGATGGATCTTATTTTATTGATATCAATAGATTCTGTTTATATTCGAGTTTTTGGTTTGATGATTTACTTGATTGTTGAATGTGAAGGTATTCCATTTATCATTAAAAATTGCTTACTTAAGATGATATACTTACTCTTGATTGAATATCAGTCACACTCTTTTCAGTTTCTATTCGTCTTCTTGACGCAACATCAATTTCTTTTTTAAGTTATACAATTTATCTTTCTTAAAGCTTGGATTTATATAAATAAATACTTCCATTTTCATTTAAAGTATTTTATTTTGTTCATCTTACATAGTAATACTCTCTTATAATTAATCACAATGTATCTTCAACCTTTGTTCTACCTAAAATAAATGAAAAAAATGAACATGAATATGATGTCGCTTTTCGGACTCTATTTTTTATAAGGATTGTTCTAATAAGTCATATTATTCAGTAATTTCTTGATTTAATCTTAATGTACATAAGGATTTTACTCAATAAATTAATCTAGAATGCGAGTGATATATTTAAATGCAACAGAGACATCATCTGGTAATATAACACGTATATCAGAATAGCCAATTTGATTGAGTTTGTTTTGCAATTCATCAAAATACTCAATGATTTAAGATTTAAGATCAGAATTTAATTAATTCATTAAGTGAATAATGATGTAAGAGTAGAAATAAAACAGAGTATGTGTTCCAACATAGAGTGCAATGTAGGAGTAAATCTAATATGTAATAGAATAATAATAAAAGGTAACTTGTGGTGGAGATAGTACATTTTGTATAACAATGTAAAGGAAAGTGTATATGTGGGGTTAAGGGATATAGATGGCATAATAATTAGAATTAGAGGAGATTGAATAGATAGCAGCATCAAAGGAACATTGGTTTGCATGGTCAGAGACATAGGTTTTTGGATGGTAATTAGAAATAGAGAATATTAGTGGTTCAAATAAATAAGGAAAATTGGGAATGAATAATTCAGTTAATACACCAACATTATTTGACATATTTAGTGAAGCATCTTAATATGGATGGTAACTGTAGAAGATAGCAGTTGGATTAGATCATAGTGTAGCATTAATAGAAGTAGAAGATGAAAATAAGATATTTGTATGGGGTTCGAATGCATATTAATAATTGGGTTTTGATGCTTCAGAACAATTTGTTGCAATACCTCATTAATTAGATTTAGATAATCTTCCTAGAATTATTGATATATATGCTTAACATAATTATACTATGGCAATAGATGAGGAAGGTCGTCTATTTTCATGGGGTAGTAATGAATTTGGTCGACTTGGATAAAATGCATTTGCTAAATATATGAAATTACCATCTCCAATAACATCTCTTGGAAATGTAAAGATACTAAAATTGGCATTAGGAACATTTCATGTATTAGCTATTGATACTTAAGGAAATGTTCATTCATGGGGTAGAGGATTATAAGGATAATTAGGACATGGTAATACTAATGATTGTAGTAAACCTAATCATATAACATCATTATCAAATATTAGGGATGTTGCTTGTGGTGAAGCTCATAGTATGGCTTTATAAAATAATGGATAAATCTATGTATTTGGATCAGCATAATTTGGATAATTAGGATTAGGAGATTATAAATAATAAGATACACCATAGATATTATAAATTCATGGAGAAATGATTGCTTGCGGTAGACATCACTCAGCTGTACTTATTAAAAATGGAGCTTTGTTTATGTTTGGAAACAATGATCAAAATCAATTAGGATTAGAATGTGCCAAGAGTGGAGCTTATTCAACTCCTTTGCCAAAATCAAGTCCTATGAATGTAATACAGCACCTATCAAATTTAGATAGACCAATCAAATCTTTGAGCTGACTGACGAATTCATGAATAAAATTGAAGCTTGTGATACTCAAGATCTTGATCAAGTAATCCTTATCTTTTTTATCTAGTTATTAATTCAATATTAGTAAAATACACAATAAATACCTAATACATAAACAACTATTTTTATCAAAGATTTGATGGAACGAGTTATTGCACTCCTTAAGAAGAAATGACATACATAATATAAAATATAATATGAACATTCACATTAATACATAATTTTAATTTATTAAATTTTCATTAATGGAGTAAGTCGATTACTAAGAACTTTTAAAACGATTTCAATATTCTTACACTAAGCCAAATGCTTAATTAAGACATTATTTGCAATCTTTGACTCCTCATTAATATTCTCATTTATTCTAAAACATTGAAAACTTAAATTATGATTCTCATAAAATAAAAAGATTGCTTAGATACCTCAAAAAACCATATTTGATACCACAATATTTTCATCTTAAATTAAAACATAAATTGAAAATTCATGAAAATGTTCCTGAAGGTGTTGTTGATTTCAATCAGAAGAATTAATTAATTTTTGCATCACAAAAATAAGGATAACTATCATTTGATAAATTAAAAGAAGAACTCTTTGTTGATTTTAAAATCAGAAAGATTGGTATAAGATTTTAATTCTATTCAAGATTCATTTACTTTTAAGTATCAATTTTATCATGCCTTGTAAGATAATCTAACAAATCAATGTATTGAATAATGTCTTCGTCTTCTTAAAAGATCAAAATAAAATATGGATACTTTATAAATTGTACTCACTGAATTAACTCATACATAAGATGATACACTTACTCCAGTTATTATTCTCTTTTTTAACATTTTTTTATGTTCTATTTTTTATCATTTAATTATATAATTTATGTTCTATTTCGTATCAATTAATTTTATAATTTATATTATTTTTCTGATCAATTAATTTTATAATTTAAGTACTATTTCTGATCAATTTATTTTATAATTTATATTATTTTTCTGAACAATTAATTTCATTAATTATCATTCAAATCAATGCTTTATTACACGTTAATTAGGAGCTATACATAATGCATTAGCTGAATTTATAAAAAATGATTTGTTAATCATTTGTTTGAAATTAGTTGCATTTAGTGGAAAAGTTAAGAATAGTGTCAACGTAAATGAGTGAAGCATTCAATCATATAGGCTTTATCTTATAAAATTATTTAGATAATTTCTCTTTAATTAAAGGAGCTTATTCTGTATTGAATTAAATTTATATTCACATTTCTTCAGATATAGCTAGTATTTAATTTATTCAATCTCCCTTTAGTTCATTTAATTAAAATATATTTTACTTTTATTAAATTTCTTTTATGATTATTATTATACAAGATATAGAGATCATTTTAAAGATTGTTTATCTTTTGTAAAGATAATATGATTAAATAACAATTATTTTTATCAATTGGAACTATGATTAATAAAGTTAAGTAAACTACCTTTATTGAATTAATTATTGAACCATATTTAATAGAGTTAATTGCTATGGACGAAAATGATCCAAAATATTCTAGTTATTTAGAAGTGTTTTCAAGAATATGTTAATTAAATTAAACTCTTGTATTAAATTATTTAATTGTATTGATTTTGGTACCTCCTCTACATTAATTTAAATTGATATTCTTAAGGCAATAATGAACTCAAAGTTCTAGCTTTATAATTAATATATTAATCTTAAGAAAAAGGACTTGAACTTTAAAAATTCAAACCATAATTAGCTATCACTTATGAAAAACTTATTGTTGATATCTACTTAGTTGAAGGAGGATTAAAACAATTATCTAAAAATTACAGTTAATTCCAATTGCATGATAAAAAAGTATTATTTATATTTATTATAGGATTTACTTCTAAATTAACTTTTTAACAAAGGTGTCTAAAGTTTTACTTAGGAAGCAATAGAATTTCATCTAAAAATTGTCAAAATAGCTATCAAAGATTAAAAAGAATAAATTTATTCCTCAGCTGTTTTAGAAAGATTCTTCACTCTATCTAAATAATATTTTGAGAAGTGTATTCAATCTTCAAAATTTGATTTAGCTTCTCCTTGTGAATTAAATCGTCTAGGTAAATATATTTATTATATTCTATTATAGCTCATATTCTGGCATAAACCATTGAATAAGTCATGTGCTCTAAATATTGAGAACCTTAAGTAAAATTCCAGAATATTTAGGTTAAATAATAATTAAAACCTAAATTCATGGAGATTCCATATATTTTAAGTGCGTTATCAAGATTATAATGATATAATATATATTAAATAACAGACATAATAATGTTTGAGTCCTTCTAATAACAATGTGAATAGATTTATTCTGAAAACCAAGACAGTAATTTTAGTTATCCTATATTAGTCATAAAATAGTTAAATAAACTCAAATAAAGTGCTATGGATAAAAATCAAGAAATATTAAAATTACACAATATAGTTAAAGGAGTAGAACAAGAATATTAACCAATTAAAGATAAAATACAATCAATTAAAAGTTAAGTAGAAGATTCTGAACTCAATAAATAAGCTATTTATGATTCTTTTGAAGAACTTGAAAATATGATTATACGTTAGATTGCAGAACAAATTAAAATGGGTAAAAAACCCAAAAAGACTTTGAAGAAAGACTCTCCATCAAAAAGTAAAATTAATAATGAAAATGATCAAAACACAATAAACCTCCGAAAACGAACAATTAAATAATAAAATTTTGATGAAAATTCTGAAACAAGTGAATCGATTGAACCTATTAAAGTATAAAAAAAGAAGGTAAAAACTAATTCTGAAGCCTTAGATAAAGCCAATTGTTTAATTAATGAGATTTTTAATTTTAATTGAACATCATCTATTTAACAATCATATTATTTAAGTAATTAAATATAACCTTTATCTATTAAAGGGAAATAATAATCTCATCTTCATTAAAATACCTATCTAACACTTCATCTAAATAAAAATCTAATACAAAAGAAATGATTTAAAAATCTGGATCATACATCTAACCAAAAATTCATGATAAAAAACAACTCCAATTTCATTAATCTGTATCACTTGTGCTTAAGAATTCCTTGAAAATTATCAGGATTAAAATATTTCAGAAGAAGGGAATAATAATCTTAATATAATTAATTATTTATATTAATTAATTGATTCGTTAATGGCTAAACCAGAATTCAAGGAACTACTCATTTTAGAGCTATCTAATTAATTTAGATAGGTTACTTGGTTGTAATTGTCTTAAGAATATATATTTTTTAAATATTAAGAAAATAAATTCATCAACAGTTATATTTCTAATTTTATCAAAAATATAGATTTTATAATTAGTTTTTAAAGCCCTTAAGTATTAATAGTCTTTACACAATTTAAATTATAAATTTCTTTTTAATGAATGATACATACATATACAATATTTTGCTTGGCCCAAAATAAGGTTGGCCATTTTTTTTAAAGACTAAGTTGATACATTAACAAATAAAAAGAAATTTTCAAATAAAATGAAATTATCTCTTTTTCACTTTTGTTTTTAAATGGAAGATTATTAAAGTTGATGGGATGATTCTTCTTCATATTCCTGAATTTAGGATGGTATTTATAGATATATTTCCTTAACACTAATTATTGAAATTTCAAGGTAAAAAACTTCATTAATAATTTTATGGGCGAGTTAATATATCTAAAATAATCTAATCATTCTTTTTAGATAATTTATATAAAAATTAGCTAAATAATGAGAGAAAAAAATAGCCTTTTTTAATTATATGACACTATCATAATATTATTCTAATCAAAAACTCTATAAGTTTCATTTTATTTAAAAGCTATTTTTGACTTATAATTATAATATATACAATTTTTAAATTAACATAAAAATACTTCTTTAATTCAGGGGAGTATCTTTAATCTTTCCAGTTTAAAAAAAATAGTTCATAATATTTAACAAAAAAGATCAAAAACATTCTGATAAGTACAATAACTTTATGAAAGAAATTTTTTTTTTAAAATTTAAATAAATATATAAACAATATGGGTATTAAATTTTTCATATGAAAATATTTTTCCATTTTTCCAATTTTTCCAAGAATGATATAAATAACTAGCCTGAAAATTAGTAAAAATTTTGGTTATATTTATTGATAAAGGATCATTTTATTTAGAAAATATAATTAATTTCTATTCATTATGGATATAGTGTGATTAATTGTTAGAACTTTTTCTTAAATTGATTGATTATAATTCAAAAAAGATATTAAGATGATTAGAAAGATAAAAAAATCATATTGGGTTATAATTTATTTGATTAGAATAATTGTCTTTTTAAAATAATAACAATAATGAATTAAAAATTGAAAAAGAAGAGTTAAAGTAAAGGAAATACCCAGAAATTATAAGTGGAAGTGGATATTATGGTTTGATTGTTTTTTATTGGCGTAGGAATAACGAATAGTAGGACTTAAATAAATATTGTAATCTCAAAAAGAGTCTAATAAAGAAAGAATGTTAGTAAGTTAAGGATCGACAAGATGGTCAGCAGCTTCAACAAATATTCCTTTAAGAAGTAGATAGTTAATAAATATGATAGATTATGGGAAACATGTTTTGGAAAAACACAGAGAAGTTGCAAAAACATTGCAACAGAAAAATAAATAAAATAAAGTGGGATCTAGGCCTTCATCTCGTTCAAGTTCAATATCAAAATAAAGCAAATAATCAGAGGATAAAAGAGTATAGAATGAAAGCTATTTGACATAAAGTCTGAATTTTACAGAGAAGAATTCAGCAAATGAAAATTTGAAACGTGCACTTCAAGTTTAATAATGTAAATATTATATATTTAGGTTAGTTAGAATACTGTAATGAAGTAGTAAAATTCCTTACTTCTATTAATCTTGATAAACATGCAGGAGTGATACTTGAAAATGGTTTTGATGAGATGGATCTTTTAAAAGAAATATCTGTAGATCATTTAAAAGATATGAATATACCACCTATGGAAGCAAGAAAATTATTGAATCGTGTGTAAAAATTAGTAGAACTTGAAGAAAAAAGAATTGTATAATCATAAAAGCAAGCTTAACGTTTAAAAGAATCTTAAAGTCATATAAGTGAGATAACAAATTCAGAAATCTATAATGAAGAAGAATAACATCGATTATTTTAAGAAGCTGTTATGGAATATAGATAATAATAATAGAAGTAATAAAAAGAATAGAAGGAATAAGCAATATAACATACAGAGGAAATATTAATAGAAGATGAATCTTTAGGGTATATTTCAAGTCGAAAGAATAAAAAAGAAGAATAATAAAGAAATAAAATGAAATTTTTATTATCAGGAGGAAATGAATGGAAAATGTTTGATATTGATTATGATTAAAATTAAGGAACTGATTAATAACCAGTTATTATTGATAAAACATCATGTTATTAGTGTTATAGATTATTTGATTAGAAATATGTAGTAAATAATAATGGGAAAGAATTTTGTTCAAAAGAATGTGTTGAATAGTATAAATTACAAAACATAGTAAAAATAATTGATTATAATCATAGTATCTATGTCGTTCTTAATCATGTGCTAGATAAATAGATATTACATAAGCATATTATGATATAGGCTAGTGGTTTTGCAATTAAGATTGTTTTAAATAATATCAATGGGAATGTGTTAACATTAGAGGTAGAACCCACATTAGTTTATGATAATTAAATAGTATTGTGAATATAAATTTAATTAGATAATATAATTATTAATATAAATATATATATA